TTGTTCCTACAGGACCGATCACCGATGGCCAATCGTTCCTTCCTACTTTGCGGGAAGGTGGCTTAAAAAGTCTTCCCTAGTCTGTCTATCCTAACGATATCCCTTCCCGCCTTTTCAAACCCACCTCCTACGCCCCACTACAGCTACCGTCCTTTCCTCTCTATTCCATGCCTCAAACATCTCCCTGTACGTTCCATCTATCTTTCCCAGCTCAGTCACGTACACTTCCCTCTCCTTGTACCACGGACATTCCGCGACCACATGAACACGGTCTTCGCATTCGAAGCCGCAATCACATTTGAACTCGTCGTCTTCCTCGNCCATGTAGGTAATCCTTGAACCCTATTCCCTCCTTCAACATTCCGTACACTTCTAGACCCCCCTTATCCTTGGTTCATTTGCTCAGATTCTGTTCTTCTCTCTCGGCACAAGCAACAGATATCTTCTCCTTGAACCCCTGTAGACCCTCCGTTTCCAGCGTTTCATCTTCGTCGATGTCGAGCCCCTTCCATACGTCCTCTACAACCTTGACCCATTCCGTGGGTTGTCTAGCCCTCTTCTTGTTGGCCCACTTCGCCTCCCATACAATTCTCGGCAACCTCTCCTCTCCCATCCCATACATGCGATACTGCCCTGTCAGCTTCCTCGCGTCTCTTCCCGACCGTAGGGATTGGATCCCCAATTCTGCCCTGGCGGCTGCATTACTCGTGCGCTTGGAGCATCCTAGGATGATTTTCGCCGCTTTCATCTGCACCGCCTCGCCTTGTTTCACTACCTTCTTATTTCCTTCCCATACTTCTCCGGCGTACTCTAGTGGCGGTACGATTACGCTCTTCAAAACCGTCAATTTGATGCGTGTATCGAGGCGCCGGTTTGCGAGTATTGGGTGCAGCTTCCCTGCTTGTGCTTTGCCCTTTTCCGCTACCTTGGCCATGTGTGCATTTTACGAGTAGTCTTTTGCGATCTCTACTCCGAGGTATGTGTACTGGTCCACTACTGCAATCTCCTCGATCCCCCACAAGGGGGGAAATGAAGCGGGATTCAGACGAGGCCGACGCTATCCCCGGGCTACAGCTGCAAGAACACGCGTTGCCAACAAGTGAGCTGTTTGTTGCTACGAAGAATTTACGCACCAAACGTGTGCCTGATCTGGGTTCATGGCCAAAGATTCCGGCCTACGAGACACTTATGGCTAACGAGACAGCCTGGAGCAACCAGAACAAAAAATCAACACGCAAGCCAATGCAGTCACGCGCAGTGAATTCAGTGCTTGCCCTTGTTGCCCGAAGTCGGGAGCCCTGAACGTGCGGGAGTCGACCTCCCCCCAGTATCTTTGCCTTGGCCTTACAGCAGTCAGCGCACTCCAAGAGGCCGTCGCTTCCGCCGTTCTTGGACCAGTTGCACCTGGCAGAGGCAAAGGCCTAAGAAGGGGCATCCGGTGTTTTGCTTTTTCCCCGGACCCTAGGGAAAGTCTGCAGCATCAGCGTGATAAACACGCGCGGCCGCCAGGTTCAACACAATAATAGAAAAACTACAGTTGTACTTCGTGCACAACTGCTGCCGACTGGAAAGACTCACGAGGCGAAAAAAGCAGGCGCCTGCAAATGGTTTCAGTCTTACGTCAAAAGATGGCCGAACAGAGTACAAATGCAATCGTTCGTGCAGCATAAACCGGTGCAAACGAAGCTTGGGGTCCAAGTCGTAAGGTCTGCATGCAGCACGATACACTGGTACACTGATGCCTGTACGGCTGCAGATACATACGGCAGACGAATCGTTCGTGTCAAGGCGGCCTGCAATTCTCGACACCAAAACGAGGTTCACGAAGTACATACATAGACAACGTAAGTCGAATCTCCTCCTCTTGCCATCTGGACCGCTTCCTGGTTCCTGCTGTGGTCCAAGCGAAGGTGTGCGAGGGTATTTAGCGGCATGGGCCCACCGTAATCGTATCTCATGCTCGATGTATGTACATATTATCGCTGCTGGCCTTGAAGGTGACAGCAGTAGTCGATCGTATCGCCATCGTGATTGGTGTACATTTATTCTTACGATGAATCACCAGCCTCAGCCTCGGCGGATGAAGGATTCCTGCATAACACGGCAGTCGAAAGCATCGTGCGCTCCAATACCAACAACGGCAGGAGAGCCGCAATTCCTCTCGCAATCTTACCAATGTAGACCAGCGAAAATGGGTCGTGCATGAAATTATCCAAGCAGCATTTCAGAGCCCGGGATCTCTTCGCGCCGGCCGTGGCCTCACCTCTTTTCTCCTGTTTCCTGCCTTTCCCGTACCGTTCGTATTATCCGTCTGTTCTCGGCCGCGAGCAAGGAGAAGGAGAAAAAGCAAGGGGGGAGGAGAGGGAAGGAGCAGGTGTGGTGCGATCGTGGGACATGCCGAGACACGTCTGGTTGATGCGGCGCGATTAACAAGGGGGCGACGTGAGGAGTGATGGTACCCTACAGTACTCCCAAAACATCAGTTGTCAAGGGAAAAAGTCGCGCCGCGTTGCTCGAACGGAAAGTGTTCAGCAGAAGCAAGCGCGGTGGGCGAGGGGGGACGCTTCTCTTGCCACGCGTACCGCCGACATATTGCGTCGTGGGTGCGAGGCATGGTAAGTGGCTACTTTGGTGGCCGTTGGTGGTTTTCCCGACAAATGGTCGTATGTATTTGAAAGCGCTTGTGAAACATTGCGGCATACATAATGCACACCTGGCGCACATGCGTGTCTTGTTGAAGCTAAACAGCTCCCTCTCTCTCTCTGCCTGGTGCTTTGCTACCTCTCTCCTTTGTCTCGTGTGCAGGACATCTTCCGAAGATTGACGAACCCTACTCTCAAGAAGCTGTACAGATTCGTGCTCAAGCGGCTGGTAGGCCGATTCCTTGACGATGAAATCGCCCTAGAGGTGGGAACACAGCTAAGAGCAGTAACTTGGTCTTGCCGCGGGGGATTTGAGACTGCAGGTGCTGCTTATATGGAGTTTGTTCAGTTGAATTTAAGTGGAATCTGCCATACCACTGCTGCTGTTGTCCCCAAGTGGACGCAGACAATACCGAGCTTGGCGTTTTCTGATCGTTTCTCGCCCCGCGGGTGTTTAATTCTGTTGTGAAGACTGCCGCTTCCCTGACTATCGAATTATCCGCACCAGCACCTGACATGTCGCTGGTGCTGCTCCTATTGCCAACACACACGCATGTTTCATCGTTTTTTTTTTTTTCTTTCCCCGTCAAGGCTGGTGTATTTGCTGGTTCGCGCGGTCGGTTGCAATTTGAGATTTCACGCGTGATCAACGCAGTTGAATTTGCGCGCAGTCACGAGGATCCGTAGATTACCTGTTGCCCCGCAAGACTGGCGTCTTGAAGTTGGTTGGCCGACAATGTAGCGATTAGCGCGGTCGATCCTGACCAGATTGTTTACCGCGGTTGATTCTGACCAAAGAACCACCACGCTCACACAAGAACGGGCCTGGTGGAGTGATAGTGGCAACAGCAGGTGGCTCCTGCTGTCAGAACAGACATGATTGACGTCGACAACAGTGTCTTTTCTCTCTTACCCAAAAGCCGCTGTACGCCGCCGCCTTGATCATTCGCAGCAACTCGATGTACAGCTCGGAGCTGGCCGGGTTGAGCTCACGGACCTGAAGATAAACGTGGTCGCTCTGGAAGAACTTCTGCCACCGGGCCTGTCGTTTCGCCTAGCACATGCTCATGTCGGAACGTTACGAATAGAGATCTCGTACAGCAAGCTGCTCACGGAAAGCCTGGCCATCTTCCTGGACGATGTCCAGATTGAGGTATCACCTCCTCTCTCGGAGGCAATCACGGCAAGCCCCCCGGGTGCAAGCGTCGATGCTGAAGCGCAAGAATCTAGACAAGCAAGCGCGGCGGCAATAAAGGCTCGGCGAGAGGGTTTAGCTGCAGGGGCAGCAGGTCCGGGGATGGATGCAACGCAGAGTCCGCTAGCCGACCAGGATCAACTTGGCTTCGGCGAGTCGGGCGAGCGCTTGGACTTTCTGGCCAAGTGGATCGAGCAGATCACGTCCAAGGTCAAGGTTGTTGTGAGCGACCTGACTGTGAGAATCATGGCTGAAGCCCGGGCGGAACGTGGTCATACGGGACAGCCCAGTAGCGGCGGAGGCAAAGACAGCATGCCGTGTTTGAAGTTGCGATGTAGCTCGCTCAAGTGGTGGGACGAGACACCCGAGGTGTCGTCGTTTATGGCCGACCAGAGCGCTTCTACAGGAGGCAACCGGGTCGAAGGGCCTGGCAAAGTGAACGGCGGAACAGCAGCTGTTGTACACAAGGTGAGTATGTATGTTTGTAGAAGCTCACAAGGTCGTGAACATCATGCATGGCGGCATCGTTTGATGGGTTCGTTACTCTTGGTGAAGCATGCATCAGAATACGGCGAATGTTGAGCAAGCACCTGGACGTGAAAGAGTGCAAGCAGGGAGGGCGCTGCGGTCAGAATCCTCCCCCAAATGGCGTCCATACTCATCCATTCGTTGATATTCTGCCGCAGCCCCGGCATGCCTCGTGATGCTTCCTCCCATAGGTCCACAGATGAACAAGATGTGCTCCATTTTGCTGTGTTTCGAAACGGCTATGCGAAGTCCTGTTGGGTGGGGAAGTTTTTACACCCACACGGGTCATTGTTGTACAAGAGACTTACTGCGCTCTTTTCCACCTACTCATTTTTGCTCTTTTTTCCCCAGCGCTTGACTCTTGGTCAAATGGTTGCCGAGTTTCAGAGCGGTCAACGAGGACAGAAGCTTGAAGTGGTCAGGATCGGTGGTACGGGATGCGTCTTGATCAAGCAAGGCAGAAAGCCGCAGCTAGGATCAGCGCCGGCAGACGTGGTGTTGGACGTGGATGTCTCACTACGTCACGCAGACATCACGCTGGGCATGGACGAGTGCACGGGTTTACATGCGCTATCATCTGCGTACCTTGCCCGTATCGAACAACCTGCGGAGCATGTTGTCACAGAAGTATTGGACACTGCCGTTGCACCTAAGCCGGTCAAGCCTCTTTTCCGCGAAGATTTCTGGTACTTCGAGGGCGACAACGACACTGGTTCAGGAGAGCTGAACTTCGACACCCTCTCGGGCCTGCTCGAGCAGGTGGGTTGTTGAACATTTGGTAGATCAACTGCATGAATCGTGTTAAGAACTTGTTGTACGCTAATGCTGCTGTGCGTCATGTACCTCGCCCAGCGCGTGTCCCCAGTCATCAACCAGCAAGTGCTGTGTACCCCCTCCGCGACATGCGCGTTTGAGACAGTACGCAGAGGCACGTGCTCGGCTGACGGAGGCTGAAGGCTACGGCCAGGGAGTCTTCGGTGCGGGCTCATACTTGTCGTTGGGGCATAGCGATGTTTTTTACGACTGCGAGGAAGGGAGCGACGACGGCAACGGGGGAAGTGGGGCGCGGGCAGACCGGCACGGTTCGATGAAGTTCCGTATGCGCACGACAGGCCTCGACATCACGCTACTGCTCTCCCAAGAGTTGATGGGCCCTCTGGGGGGGAGTATTGCCAGCGCAAGCACAAGCGCGCGCTACGTGCGCCTCCAGTTGAGACGATTGAGCCAGACGCTGCATTGCGCTGGGAGTTGGATGTATTCAGTGTCCGAGGTTGGCACCTTCGTCACCGACTGGAAAGACGGGAATGACTCGTGCGTGCGGGTGATGGAGGTTTTGGGCGCAGCTGATTCGTCCCCTTCTGTGCAGATAAGTTGCACCATGGGAGAAGGAGCTGAGCCACTAGGGGGAAAGAATGTAGCCGATAGCGAGGATGTTGCCCTCGAAGTCCGTTGCCTGGAGGTGGCTGCGGTCCTGGACCCACGACTTGTGAGCTATATTAGCCTTTTCCTGGCGCAGGTCGAACTACGGGCAGAGCGGGCTGATGACACCAATGGAGGTGGCGGGAATGGTCAGGGCGTGGGTGTGCCGTCGAGTGGTAGCACTCGCGACCCGCGCGTTGCAGTGGCTGTGGCGGTGCCTAAGCTGACGGTTCGGGTCCCGGCAGACCCGAGCACTTGCTCATCAGACGCACACGCTGCTCTGGTCAAAAGCCTTCAGAAAGGTTCCAGCCCCGTTGGGTGGGCCCCGCGGGAAGAGGTCCCCGGGGACGCGGCACCGATGCTTGTGGTGGAGGTTGAAGGCGTCGAGGTTCGACTTGCCTTTGGTGCATCAAGAACGCAACAAACCGTGCTTGAATGCACCCGAGTGGCGTGCCAAATGATCCTGGTCGGCGACGACGGTTCAAGACATGGTGGACGTAAGGGGCGGCTGATGAAGCTCAATTTCCTCGAGGCATTCCGTTCCACTGCTGAAACCACCTTGAGGGTGGATTATGGCCTTGCGAAAGACGTAAGGAAGGCAGGGCAGCTGGATCTGGCGCGGCCTGGCGACGCGGGCCTTAATTTCCTGCATACGTGGGAGCCAAATGATGGGTTAGTGTCGCGATAGGTCTGCGACGATGTTGAAAACGACGCAGCCTGTTTTGTTTATATGACTCGATATAGACAGGAAGTTACCTCTCTTTGGTGCCTACGCTCCAAAAACAAGCACCGAGGCACCCTGACGAAACTGCTTGTGGGTAGCCCCTCGAAGCATCGTACCGCAGCATGCATGTGTGACCCTTGCTCCCGTCCTGAAAAAAAAAAAATTCCCTCGTAGAGGTGTAAAGACGTCCCCCGTAGATGCGTGTGTGGCCCGAATTCAGTGCATGTAGGTCGCGGGCGCGACTGCGCTTTCTATCAGCCATCCGAAGCGCGGTAGTCATTCATGGGATACTATGTGTCCGTGTTGACCGTAAAATCCGCTCGTGTTCTTACTGATCCGTGGTTTCGTGTTGGTGTCAGCGTGGAGGGCGGCTTGGACGACCCCCCCCCCTCCGGACGCTTTGGTGAGGGACTGCAGGATGGCAATTGCGACGCCCCCGAGGGGGGTGAGTCCTCGGCGCGCATCTTGCTTTGCGTTCTACCCCGTCTGGCGGTGGAGTTGTCGCGGTTGGAAGTGGTCGTTCTGGCCGACATTTTGGGTGGGTTAGCCCCTCCCTCGGAAGGAGGGGCCGGCGCGAGTCCTGTGGAGGATGTGGGCACATCACCCGTCCCTTCGCTGGAGGTTGTGGTGGAGGCGCGTGGCGCGACGGTTGTGTTGCACGAGGCAGCAGCATTCGCAGAGGATCCTGGCCCGCATTCGTTCGTCCTAAGTCTAGGGGATGCGTGCCTGCGCACGGGCGGCGGCAGCGAGAAGTCGATCGACGGGAGTCCTGCTCCGCTCGTGACAGTGTTGGCTGGAGACGTGTGTGTGCATGAAACTTTGCGCTGCTCCCCTGAGGATCTTTCTAGCATGTCCGGGAAAGGACGGCTAAATGGGCCCCTTCTTTTCCTGGCTGGCAGAGACGAGTCAGCCTACCCAATGGTGGAAGACCTGCCTACACTAGGATTTGTGAGTGCTTTCTTCCTGCCCATCGTCGGTACCGAAGACTTGAGAGTAGTGCACACGCTTTCATGCCGGTTTCTTTTCTACAGCAACCCTGTCACCCCGGTTCACTCTCGTTGGGTGTTAGCCGTTCGGTTGGACTTGTCTTGTTTTTGTTATCCATGTATATCGGCAAAGCTTACGGTACGACGAGAGTTGTATATTGACGTCGAACTGTGCGTGGCAACATTCTGGCGTCACGAGTGTTAGATGGGAAGGATGTCGAGCGAGATTTACAACAAGTACGTCCACTCCACATGCCGCCTCTGTTCTGGATTTCTGTCGACATGCGCAGGTTCCTGTCCTGTACCAGACGAAGTGGGTCAAAGGGACTTCTCCTATCGCTGCCGAGCTTGTGCTAGGAGTAAGCGAGCCAGGGGCAGCGTTCAAAACTATTACAGCAACACTGAACCTGTATGATGTTTCCTTGAGGTAAGAAGGCGAGACCGCCCACGTGAACATTTCAAGCGCGAGAAAGCTTGTGTATGGACGCCTCCTTGTGCATTAGGAAGAGTTGCGACAAAAGTGTTGTCCTCATGTGAACAGCTCTCTTTTTGGATGCAGTAGTATCTTGTACCAGCGGAATGCAGGCGCTCAATTTCTCGGTCTGTGCTCCATCCCTGCTCCTCTACCCGTAGGCATACAGTGGCCTCCAGCTGGCTGCCTCGCCTCTTGGGCTTGGTGGTCGGAGATGTGCCAGCGGGGCGAGCGGTTTCTTCGAACTGCTGCAAAGCAGGCGCTGGCGTTGGCGCGAATGAGATCGGGGAAGCAGGTGGCGGGAGCTTGACGAAGATGTTCATCACGGTGTTCAATGGTGTGGTTGACTACATGCCGCAGTCACAAGGGTGAGGTTCTCAGCTACTGGAGTCGGAGGATAACCCGTGTTCGCTTCTGCATGTATGGTCAGCTTGGCGAGGTTGAGAGTTGGCTTTATCAGAAATAAGGGAGCACACAGATTGTCAAGGTGTCCATGCCAACGGTGTGCCTGTTTTCGAGTTTTTCGACACTTCAGGATGGGGTTCATGAGGGTCATAGTTTGAGTGCACACAGTACCCCCAGTTGACCTCAAGCGAACTACCCATAGGTGTTGTCTTCAGTTTCTGCTGTCGTATGTTTGGAATACAAACGCTGCCCATCTTCCCTTGATGCGACGACTTTTTCACAGTCCTGGATGTAAGCGCATCCCGGCCTATACTCCTGGAGTTGCTTCAGGAGCTCCAGCCGGGACCTTGCCGCCAACGGAAGGGCGCGCGGTTTTTCCCATAGGCGTTCTGAGAGTTTCGAGCAACATGGTGGCGGGCGCACCAATGCAGGTACAACAAAGTTCAGACGCGCCGTTCGGGTCTATCGTGCATGCTACTTGTATCGCCCGTCCTTGTTTTTCTCGCCATCGTTTGGCCATGTGCTGGTCACGTTGGATATCTTGAGGTTACGTGTGCACAGGGTATTGTTGTGTTTTGGTCACCTCAGACAGATATTCGTTTGATGTGGCAGGGCTTCAAAGTGGTCATCCGAGATATCGGCCTGCATATGTCCAACCGCGTCACGGACTACAGCAAGGAGGATGCTGGGCTATGCCGCGGAGCACTAGAAGCGCAGAGAGGACCAGTCGTGTCCCCGATGAAGACCGAATTCTCCTCGGTGCAGGAATTTCTGGAGTCATCGCAGTTTGTGCAAGTGAGCCAAAAAATTAGCACGGGCACACACAAAGAACGCCCACGCCTGACGTTGGTACTACAGTAGGTGCCGTTCGTTGGAAAACGCGTTCGTTGCTAGTAAGCCCCGGAAAAATTCAATCCTCAGGACATCGCTCTTTCGAGATTTTCGTACGACTGTACAATGAAGGTCGCCCCTTCGTGATTTTCAGGCGAAAATCGCTGTCCCTTTCCGGGGCCGGAGAACGTATACGAAATATATAAGTTAAGGACGATCTGTGTCTCTTCTTTTTCGGGGAAATTTACCGATTCTCCGTTTGCAAATTGTCCTTCCCTCCGTTCCCAGATTGCTACGCTCAATTTTCTGGATGCATTCTTGCGGACCCGTTCGCATGTGGTGGCGCCTTCAGACGCGTTCACGGCCGTTGAGCTCTGGATGGGAATCGTGCACGTGTATACGTGCCACGATTCGCTCAGTACCTGCCAGGTACGCGCCGTACCATTACGCATAGGAATCGAGTTGGGTGCGTGAAAAAGTATTGTTGGAGCAGCCTCGCGGATGCGGGCCTAAGCTGAACTGCTGACGGTGGTATTAGCCTTGTGAAGCTTTCAGATGTCTGGATTTGCTGAGTAAGGGGTGGTGCCACAAATAAACAAGGTTTATCCTGCGGGTGTTAAACGGTACGTATTTCCCCTCAGTTGTCGTCGATATGACTATTCTGGCCAGTGACGTTCGCCCGCTATTATAAATGCTTGGGGCTCTATACTGTTGCTCCATTCGTGCTCTCTTACGACTGAGTAACTAGCCTTGAGGTCTGGCTACCTGCATGTTTCCGTTTCATCGAGTTACTCTAGCCAGCCGCGAGAAGCATTTCATCGCTCACTGTTTCTGTCATCTGGTATGGGGGGCATTTTGTTTTTTCTTTGCTACGCAGGCATTGTTGGGAGAGTGGTGGGCGTTGGTAAGCGAAGTCCGCCCAACGGATGTCAGCAACACCAACTCACTCGCCCCCAAGCGTCAAGCGGGGCGAGTATCTCATGGCGAAGCCAAGCAGAGCGCCCCCAAATCTTTGCTGGATGGTGTGGAACAAGACGCCTTCCTGCCTGGGTGAGAAATCCGATGTGCCTGGCAGCATCCATACCTACCAAACGAGCCTACTTGTTGTTCGAAAGGTTTGCTTCTCGTTAGGAAGCGCATACAGCAGTTGGGGGAGACAGTCGTGTTTTACCTCTTTCGTGCTTGCTTGGTGAAGTGTTTAAAAACAAGCCGGCTTTGGATGGATTTCCCAAGCCATATTTATGACCGTGTTGGTGCGCGGAATGTCGGTGGTGCGTACAGGAGCAGCAGAGGATCTTCCGGGGTTGCACAAGGCAGACCTCCCCCTGGTTTGATGGACAGCCCTGGGTATCCAGGCCAACCTCGCAAGCAGTCTCTCGTGATCGAGGACTTCTATTGCTTGTCTGTCGACCCCCCGCCCCCCCAGACGGGACCCTCGGCTCTCCAGGTAGATGCGCTCGACGACGATTCTCTCAACTCTCCTCCACTACCTGGCGAAGGCTCATCTTTCCTTTCGGAGGGCGAGGGACCAGCTCAGTGGCTGGCCGCTCCTAAGATCGACCAAGATCATGGCGAAGGCCTTTCCATGGAGTTGGCTGATGACACTTCCGACTCCGAGTGTGAGTGGGGACGGAAACGCACACAAACGTTAGCATTGCGGACTCTCCTTTTGCTTGCGAAAGTATCTACACAACAGGCAACCGCGTGGACGTCAACCAACCAGATAGGAACGGACGTCCGCCAGCGGTAGAGGTAACGAGATCAGAGTACGACGACGGAGGATGCGATGCCCATCGGGGCTTAATGGGCTTTGGTTGACGACGGTTAGGCCGTAGTGCGCATTGTGTTCTGTTTCAATCGCTCTGTTTTTTTCTTGCATAACTGGGGAATGACGTAGCGTCATCGCCTTTGTAACCGCACGGAACTACTGTTGCGCTGCTGTTTTGTACTAGGTGAAGAGGAAGGTGAGGTGAAAGCGGCGGAATCTGGTCCGCTCCAACCAGTTGCACGGCGAAGCAACTTCGGCTTCAGCTTGCTTGCACCGATCGAGATTGAGTTGGAGGATCGGCACGACGCTGGAATCTCAGAGGAGAAAGACTCAGTGAATCTGGAAGAGCAAGGAGTAGTAACGCCGGCTTCTTTTTCGCCCGAACGAGGAGACTTAAGGTCAGCGAGGGCTGATTCCTCGAGTCAGGAGGAAGGCGATGGGGTCCTTTCTCCTCGAAAATTTGCCGAAGACGAACAGGAGCTTGGCGCGCTGGATATGCCGGTGAACATACCTCCGGTGCCAGGGATGTTCCCTCGCCAAAGCTCTTTACCGCTCGGGGAGCAAGAAACGTTTCCCACCCAGGCTGAACGCGGTTCAGCTGGTAGCGTGCCGGAGGCTGTTCATGGTGAACCAGCGGTGGAGATCAGCGCTCCCATCAGGACGGGGCCTGTGCAAGGCGAGCAGGAGGCCCGGTGGCTAGGCCGGGATCGAGAAACTTCAAGTGAGAGCAGCGGGGTGCGAGGCGTAGGAACAAGCTTTTCCTCCCACCAAACCGAAGACTTTCGCATCTACCCACACTACGTTCCTATTCCCACCACCGCGGAAGCGACGTCCTTGCCGTTCTTGTCCGGTGACCCTCTACTGGCATTGGGGCACGGGCTTGAGAAACATGCCGACGGAGAACCCGACGCAGAAGGGTCTGAGCGGATAGACCAGAAGCTGCAATTTCAACTTGCGATTCACGACCTGTCGATTTGCTGGCGACTCTTCAAGGGGAGGGACTGGGTAGAGAGGAATACGAGCGAAGACGATCGGACTCCGCACGCAGGAAGCAGCGCGGGTCGACGCCACCAGAGAGTATCGACCAGAAAGATGGACGACCCGGCTGAGGGAAAAGGCCGCCGCCGCGAACACGCGAACGACGGCGCCGACACGTCCTCGACGGCAGGCGGAGGGACGAAGCCCCGAAAAGCGGAATTGCTTGACGCCCTGCTTGAGAACTATCAGGATGAAAAAGGAGGGCGTGGCGAGGCCCAGGCAGGGCGTCGTGCGTCACGCCAGCCGAAGGTCAAGCTCTTGAACCTCCCCCGAGAGTCTGGAGGATCAAGCCGATCTGGAAGGCGCACAGGACGGGACACTTCTTGCATGGTCGAGGTTGTTCTTGAGAATTCCAGTCTCCGATTGGACAACTTCCACCCAGGGCCTCCAACGAGTCTGCTGTCGAACCTTCTCTTTAGCATCAAGGACCTGCACGCGTCGGACACGCTTACTAGTAGCCGCCCGCGCAAGACCCTGCATCACTGGAGAGACGACCGCCGCCACCCACGAGAATTCCAGCACAAGATGGTGACCGTTCGTATGACGACACGGAGTCCGTCGGACCACTTTTGCCCAGAAGATGCTCCCCTGGGAGACGAGGTCATGCTGAAGGTCCGACTGTTGCCGATACATCTTTCATTCGGACAGCACACGGTGGACTTCTTTCGCTCTTTTTCCCCCGAAGTGCAATCATCTCCGACTGTACACGAGAAACAGGCGGTGGGGGACGACCCTACGGCTGCGGCCGAAATGGGAGCTGGGCCGCTCTTCATATCGTGCTGCGATGTTGGCTCTTTCAAGGTAGGATTTCATGGCCTTGAAATCGTACTCCAAGAAAGAGGTTGCAAAGTCGATGCCAGTGCAATACACTGCCATTGTGCTTGCTCGTCGTGTTGGAACGGGGTAAGATATAGCACCACCTTCCCTAAGTCGCCGCGCTCGCCAAGGTCACCCTTATTTTTGATGGGCTCATGGATTGACTATGTCGTTGGATTCAGCGACAGGCTTGTGCATCAGAGAGGCAGAACTGAACGCGAACCGACACGCACGTGACCGACCCTACACGCTACAAGGTTTTGATTTCCGTTGTATTCCACTAAAACAATTCGACGTTGACATTTCTGGCCTCGCTGTGATTTCTAGTCTCCTTCCTCCTCGCTCGCTCCCCCATCCCCTCCCCGCATCTACTCTGTGCCCGCACTAGGTCAAAATTGACTACCAACCACGCACGATCAAGGTGGCGGCTCTGCAGAACGGAGACTACATGGAGCTACTGAACTTGTTTCCTCTCGAGGGAGTGCATCTTACGCTCCAAAAGGTCGTCCTCACCGGCGTTTCGGGATGGAATGGTGTCACCCAACTCCTTGTTCAGGTACTCTTGTCCTATCCTGTCATCGACAGCGTTTTTAGAGCACTCTTAATAGACCTTTGTTTCGCAGCATAGAGCGCGAGGAAGTGACTGCTATCGCCATGCAAAATTGTCTTTCGGATCCATCCAGTTGTCCGGAGGCCGTTCGTGCTCCAATACAGCGCGTAATCGATTGTCATAGGGCCCCACGAAGAAGGACAACGGTTTGGGACACTATGGAGCGTTCTGGTCGAGGTCGAGTACTACCAACAGCCTTTATTCGGTCAACGGATTTGTGCGTTATAGAGACATGAAGCTACAACTTAATGTCGTCCACCCGCACTCCTGTACCATTGGTTGAAGTGAACTTTCCTGCCTCCGAAATGCGTCAGATATCTTATATCTTGTCCATGCGTTCTCATGCTTTGGCGGCCGTTTTGCAGTCGTGGGTGCAAGACATCACCACCAACCAACTGCACAAGTTCCTTGCCGGCACTACGGCCGTCCGCCCGCTGGTGAGTACGCTAAACCTAAACCTGCGTTGAAGTCACGCTGCGGTAGTGAGCACTGGTTTGCACACACTCTAGGAGAAGTGATGCTGCTATTCGTATCGGTGAAGGTCGTTAGTCACGTTTTCTCCGAGCCCAAGCACTAGGTGCCTTTTGGAAGTTCCTCCGCAGGGTTTCTTTGTAGTGCAAGAGCTGACCCCGCGCGGGTGGATTTGGAGGGCGAAGGACAGGATATTTTCACTTTGTTGTCGAAACTCAACTCTAGTGCAGAGGGCGAATGATTCGCAGTTCTCTGGGCCGTCTTGTTTAGAACGAATCACCGGTCAAGGCGGTAAGAGCCTATGCACGAGAGGAGTTTTTTCTGCATTAGCGTCTACCGGAGAGCGTGAGAAATGTGTATGCTCATCATCAAACGGGTTGCATACGCCTCATTTAACACACCTGCCCAGGTTACCATGGGCAAGGGTGTGGCCGACCTCGTACTTCTGCCCGTGCAGCAGTATCGGCGCGACGGGCGAGTGTTGCGGGGCTTGCGGAAGGGCACCCAGTCTTTCCTTCGAGCGATCACGATCGAAACTCTGCACACTTCGCACCGCGTCGCGAGCTTTGTCAGCCGTACCCTGGACGATATCGTCGCCCAGCCGGGCGCTCAGGCGTCGCTACGAGGCCTGGAGTACTACGATGAACAGCCGACCGGGGTTATTGATAGCCTCGAGCACGCGTACGATACGCTTGCGAAGGAGGTGCAGGTATGTTCAGCGAATGAGCGTTGTGTCCGTGCAGTGGTCCGTGCCCTGCTTTGCAGTTGGTGTGGGTTTGTAGTTTACCTCTTCATTGCATCTGCCTACTGCTTGGTTTGAGCCCTCATCTTCAGCAACTTACCAGTGACTAGGTGTGTGCCATCCCCAATGGTGATATATTGGAGTCTTCTATGTACGATCCGGTTGGAATGCCTCTCCCGCTTACCGCAGACCAAATATGGCACAAATTCCTTCTCGGTGTGGATTCGATCATTCTGCTAGCGATATTTTGCGTTTTACGCATGTCCTTCCGCCCTACCCGCTTTGGCGGGTAAGCTTGGGGGCATGAGCATTGAATGACAACCTGTTGTGGAATCGCGTCAGCGGCAATGCCAAACGCTGTGAGTTGTAGGGACAATATGCCGCTCCTGCAGTTGATGACGGCGGTTTTGAGTATCAGTGCTCGAGCCAGTCATACCTCTAACCGGACCGATGTACACACTTCTTGCAAGGCCTTGTTGTCCTGTGCCGCGAGGTTAAGGTTTTCACCGTCGGACGCGTTGCATGACCGTTCAACGAAGCGCACAGTCGGGCTCGGTAATCAACCATTTCGCAATAGGGACGCATTGGACGCGCCTGCAAGGGTTTCCTAGCTCGTGTGTATCTTGACGTCATGCTTTCGGCACCAACGTTGGTTGCTCCAACAGGTCGCAGCACAGACCATCATCGCCATTCCTTACGAGGATCAGGAGGAGGTGGTAGGGCCGCATGGGAGGTCGTACGTGCGCTCCGTTGCGCGAGCGCTTCCAGTTGCGGTATTGCGACCAGTTGTTGGTGCGAGCGAGGCGGTGTCTTGCACCTTGCTAGGATTCCGGAACTACATGGCACCCGTTATGCGGAAAGAGGAAGAGATGAGGTGGTCATAGTAAATGTAGAGCAAAGGGCAAAGCTGTCGGCGAGGTCGGTGCACACGGGCGGTTGGTTTGTATTTCCTTGGCCTGGTGCTGCGGTAGCTGTCGTTTGAGGCAGTCGCGCATTGTCAGGACCCTTTCCTAGATACAGATACAGAGGCCCCCCGAAAAATTGCTCTCTGTCACTTGGGTCACTCGGACGGTGTGGAGGGAGCATCACGTAGCAGCAGTCCATGCTCGTGCGTTGTAGATAGGTTTTCGGTGCATGTAAAGTCAACAGCGTGGCACGTGTGTAGGAAGGACCATGTAGTATATTCGGGTCTGTTGAGTTCGTTCGTGTCCAGGCAATCTTCGCTTGGCTTGGAGGAAGCTGCGAGTTTTGGTTGTATTTCCACGTGCCTATACGTGAGGTGAAACGAGACATCGATTTGTCGTCGAAATAGCCACCAACCCAAGCGGCGCAGATTGACAATCCTCCTCCTCAAACGCCTTGTTTTGGAGCCTGAAGGGACCTTGCATTCGCACATCTAGGCCGCAAGAAAATTGGAACATAAGAGTAGATGGCGCCCGCCAACAGCGTCTATTCCGTACCTACTACTACCGTAGGCCTTTCTTTGACTCCAGTGCTAGGTTTTACCTTGTTTGGTGTGCTGTAGATAGCTCGTTTGGAGCAGGTAGGTAAATCCTTTTTGACGAAGCTTGCTGCCGACGCCAAGTATGAAGGAGCAACAAGATCCGATCTGAGATGTGGGTATGTACAAGAAGAGGGTTAGGTTGCGCTCTTGATCCACGGTCGTGTAGAAATGGGATGATGTTGTCGTTATTCGGAGAAAAAGCTGGGCCATGTAGGTAGGGATATGGGGGTTCACTCCTACCTTCCGGCCATTTCACGATCCACATCCTGCTTTCTTCTCGAAGGCAAACCCTTGCGCTCGCAGCATCACTCCGCAAAGAAAGATGGAGGCGCCACTCCTTGCACCACTTGCGATGTGTCATTTTTTTTGTTCTTGCCAAACACGATTGTTTGACACTAGCGATGGAGACCTATGAAGCAATGTAACAACCCCAGCCGGTTCCGTTTCATTGCATTTGTTTGAATCTTGACGGGTAGGTCTTGATACAGCCACAGAGTACGCACTTGGAAGTCAAGAAATTTAGGCTTAAAGAAGACAAACCAGCCAACAACCAGCCGGGTGCGCAGACAATGACCTTACAGTAAACTACCACCACTCTATGGTCGATTCGAGGAAGGAACGATCCAAAAATGTTTGGGTTGCTTGTTGCACCACCTGCGTATTTTGGACGCGACATACCACCTACTACTACAAGAAAATACACCCCATGACCCCACGAGCCGAATTATTGACTGCTGTTGCTGCGTGCCAGCCGGGGGGGGGGGGTTCCAGACGAAGAAAAATGTCTTACTCCTGTGGTACCACGACTTACCTACCTTTCGATATATACTCTCGTGTTCTTTGGGTTTGATTTTACTCTCTTCTTCTTGTCGACAAACAGATGGAGACACCAATCAATGATGTACAATATGCTACGTACCATATGATACCTTCACGATCTTGCGCCGTCGGAATCATGTTGGGGGCCCGCGCCTGCTCACCAAACATCAACGCTGTTAGCTTGGCGGCAAAGGTATAACAAAAAAAAAGATAGGAGGCGCACAGGGGACGCTGGGGCACCAACCCCGGCCCCCCATCCTCGTGTATTTTGCCGCTTTTGGCGTCGTCAGACGGTATTGCTGTTTCGTGCATTTGCAAAGCGCACACCTTGTGCGCAGGGTCTTCGACCCTGCGCACCCCAGGACCACCTGAGGGTCGGAGCACACAGTCAACACACTCCTCCGTTCGTGTGCCGTGATCATCACGTTCGGAGGTCAGTGACGGTAGAGTTTTTGATCGTTGGCGTGACGTCTTCATGCTGCAGCACATCCAGCCAAGTCGGTGCCCCCCACACCTGGAAGGGAATATCTCTGCGTGAACGACCCCTTGTGTGCAGCGAACTTAGGGGGGCATACCCGTGTTGCTCCTGAACACTGCGAAGCTTTCCTTGCTAAAAAACACGCTTGCATGGCAGAATCGTTCCCCGTTGTATGGCGAAGTTGACAACTTGCGGCCAGCCACCGGAAAGACATGGGGACCACTCCCGCATGTACGAGAGGGGCGAAGACGGTCCTGTCATCTCAGATTGATCCACCCACTCCCTCCAAGGGCTACGCGTGGTCACACGCGTCTCGGCATAGGTTACGGTCGCCCGCGATGTGACCCACACGAAGATATATCCCTTGTCATTTGTCAGCAATTCAAACGGTTGCCCCGGAAGTCGGGTGAAAACGAAAGAGTAATTTCGTCTCAACGTCTCTCATGATTGCTGTGCAAATAGCTACCGCTGTTTGGTTGCTTCGGTAGCGGACAAGGGTTTGTGCACGCATCAGTAGTTCCACAACACAAGTGTCGTGTCGTTTCTCCGCCAGCAACGCCGGCTGTCTTGCCAAATATTCTTACACATTTCTCTCGACTGCTGTATTGCGAGCAGACGGAAGCGCCACGACTCCGGTGCGCAGCAGTAGGAGGGGCAGGGCGCTCGATGAGCCGACGTCGTCTGTACGCCGCGAACAAGATGCTAGGGAGAAGCGCCCAGCACCCGGTCCTTCTGTGCCGCGTCAAATGCCCCTCCTTGACGCTCCCGAGGTGGGTTCGACCTTTGTTTCGAGAAGAAGGGTGAAGGGGGACACTGCGGTGTGTGTACCTCACCGTGTTGCAGCAGTAGTTCCGTTTGATGCGCCGTCGAATGCGTAAGTCACGACNCTTTGTTTCGAGAAGGAGGGTGAAGGGGGACACTGCGGTGTGTGTACCTCACCGTGTTGCAGCAGTAGTTCCGTTTGATGCGCCGTCGAATACATAAGTCACGAAGGCGTAGCGCTCGTGAGGGTTGACATCGCGATACGTTTGCGTTTGTCTTCCACCTTACACGTGCGGGTTCACATTCCAGGCTAGCGACCGAGCTGAAGCAACCCCATCTTTCCCCTTTGGGTACACCCCGACGAGAGAGGGCGATAAGCAATGCAAGCTCCCCGTCTTCTTCTTCCTTCTGCACCACCGCCGGGCGGAGGTTCGGCGCGGCGGCACGCAGTTCTGGTGTGCCGAAATTCTAAAGTGGTGGGATGAACATGGGTCAGAATTCGGTGCTCAGGACGCCCCCGGAGTGCAGCCAATATCCGTTTCGAAAGTGCTCGCCAACATGGTCAAGGTCAGTACCCTGACGAGATTGCT